TCCTCTCCAGTGGCCTGTGAGGAGAGCGTCCCCTATTGCTCTGGCGGTGACTGCCTGGTCCTCTCCTGGACCCCGGCCAGCAGCAGGCCTTTGGAGGGCACTGGCAGCCGCTTCTCCTGCACTTGAGTGTCTTTCACTCATGTTCGTTGCGGGTGCTCTGGAGGGGTCATCAGAGGTTTCTGAGCAGGATAACGACAGGATGAAGCCTTTGAGGACTCTCTCTGTGGAGGACTGGGGTGGAAGGTGGCCACGGGGCTCTGCCAGGCTGCTGTGGCCACGAGGCTGTGTGAGTAGGTAGGATAGCAATGAGGCCAGAGAGGCCCAGGTGGGCTGGCGTCTCGACTGCTCTGACCTTGCGTACTCTCTCACAGCCCACTCACAAACCAATCTCTTTTAGCTTCTTGAAATGGAGAAGTGCGTCAGGTGGACTTGTGTTTTGACCTATGAGGCTGTTGATTTTCCCAACAATATAGATGCCAGTCAAACTGTGAGAAGGTCTGTGTACTGTTGAGGCAGATGTCTGTTAGTGGAATAAACACAAATCAGCAATTTGTGTCCTTTTCCTCATGACTAATCAACTTCACGAGCCACAAAAATGACACTTCAGAAAACTGTCTCAGGCTGGCCCAGTGGCGCAGCGGTTAAGTTCTCATGTTCCACTTCTCGGCGGCCTGGGGTTTGCCAGTTCAGATCCCGGGTGCAGACATGGCACCGCTTGGCAAAAAGCCATGCTGTGGTAGGTGTCCCATGTGTAAAGTAGAAGAAGATGGGCACGGATGTTAACTCAGGGCCAGTCTTCCTCAGCAAAAAGAGGAGGATTGGCAGTAGTTAGCTCAGGGCTAATTTTCTTCAAAAAAAAAAAAAAGGAAAAAAGAAAACCATCTCATTTGACTTGGGAACAGACAACTGGGCTCTCTGACCTGGGGTCAGGCTCTGAGGGTGTGATGGGAGCAGCTCCCACAGCGGCTCAGTGACCTTGGGGCCTGAGCGGGTTGGGGCTGGGGGCTGTGTCCGTATGGAGGTGGGCTTCTCCCAGGTGGCACCGAGCACTGCTAAGTGTAGTCATTGGGTATGATGTCTACCTGAAGTAGACATCGAGTGCTGACCGCTGTCCTTCGTAGTTGTCTGTTTTGAAATTGATTTTGTCTAGTGGACCGATAAATTGGGACTCAGCAGTTAGCATCCACATTTCCCTCAGGCTATAGAATTGCTGAGTGGTCTCCCCCGGAACTGGCTGGGTGGCTGTGTTCAGGCGACGTTTCTAGGGAATCTGGCAGTGATACTGCATTTCCATGGTGCCTTCCTCCTAAGGTGCCACAGCCTATTAGTTTTCACATCCATTGGGCCATGAATAGGCTCCCCATTAGCACAGAAAGTGAATATGAATAACACTGGAAAACTAGGAGTAGTTCCAGATAAACAAGGATGTTTCTAGGTAAAACAACGGAAGATTGATTTTAAGTATTACAGATTTGGTTTAGTTCAAGTTGAGATAATGATTTAAAAATCACTAATGAGATTTAACTACTTTAGCTACGGCAGCTATGGTGGTTCCCTCTTGTTTGCTCCGTGAGTCTTGAGTGTACGTGATGTTTTTTGAAGGTAAACGCTAGACATTTGCAAGGAGTGACAGCTATTCTTTCAGAAAACTGAGCTTAGTTTCTGGTGTGCTGATTGAAGGAGGCAGACCTCTGTGGCTCCTGCTCAGCGAAGGTTGCCTGGCACTCCTAGGGCGTGACGCCAGGTGCAGAAGGCTCCGGGGTGCTTTGCTGCTGGGAGGGGTGGCTCGCACCCGGTTGCCCAAGAGAGATGTGAGGCCAGTGGAGAACTGGCGTAGGGGTGCTGGGGGACTGGTAAGAGGCAGACGTGGGAGCCAGCTTGTGTGGCCTGTTCTGCTCTGGAGTGAGTTGTTGGATAGACCAGAGGCTGAGAGTGGGTGGTGGCGGGGGTGGTCCAGTAGTGATGGAGGGGCTGGGGGGGGAGAAGCTGGGGTGGGGAATGGTGGTATCCTAGGCAGAGGCATGCCTGCTGTGGGTGGGACAGACCTTGACTAGACGCGGGGAAGCAAGGAGGGGCGGCCCTGGGATGACCGCCATGCCCTGAACTGTGCCCAGAGGATAGTGTGGCCTTTGCCTGAGGTGGTTCATGTGGAGGAGACAGCCTCAGTTTCAGACGGTGTGAAATTTGAGGGGCCTTTGGCACATCCCTGGTGGGGTGTCCTGCTGCTGTGGGTTAAAGAAATGAGAACTTGGCAAGAGAGTGGGGTCCATGTTTGGGGTCCTCAGCATGCATAGACGAGGAGTGTGTCCAGCTCCAGGCTTGGGTGACCTCGGCGTCCACAGTGGGCACCCACGAGTATCCTGTCGCTCTGTCAAACCTTTGCGTGCACGTGCCCTCCAGACTCAGGAAATCCTGTGAGGAAACGTGTTTCTTGAGTTCCTCACTCCTGGTTGAGATGCATATAATTAACAACATGATGTCTTTGAGCTTTTTATTTTGGAGTACATTTATTTTATGTAATTTTAAGTAAATATATGGGAACATTTTATAATTTTATTGAAAATAATCACTGTATGTATATAAAGTAAATTCTATAGAACCAAATCCATTTTTTTCTTGCTATTTATATAGAATCAAAAATCCTGGGGCCGGCCCAGTGGCGCAGCGGTTAAGTTCGCACGTTCAGCTTCTGCGGCCTGGGGTTTGCCAGTTTGGATCCCGGATGCGGTCATGGCACCACTTGACAAGCCATGCTGTGGTAGGCATCCCACATATAAAGTGGAGGAATATGGGCACAGATATTAGCTCAGGGCCAGTCTTCCTCAGCAAAAAGAGGAGGATTGGCAGCAGATGTTAGCTCAGGGCTAATTTTCCTCAAGAAAAAAAAAACCCAAAAACCTTAGATGCAAAAAGGCAGAGGAGAAATTTGTGTATAATGTTCGTAGTCTCTCTGTTGCTTCTTTTGATTTTTCACCTGAGACTGTATGTAGGGACATTTTCCTGGAAGGTAGTTTCTGTGGTGCTGGCTGCATGTGCAGATGGTTGGTGCTTCGTTTGTCTTAAATCTATACCTGGAGCATCTTTTCTCAGACTGTTTGCAGACCACAGTGGTAGTATTGTTAGGTTGAAGTGTGAGTGTGAAGTGTGAGGATCAGGGGTGCTGGAGGAACGAGTGTGCTCACAGTGTGCACCAGGATCTTGGGTCAGACCTGGTGTGTCTGTGCTGGGCAGGGGGGCCCAGCCCAGCCAGGAAGGACTGGTCTCCTCTGGTGCTGCCTTCAGGTCACATGGTGCATTCCGTGATTCCGTTTCTCTCCCCACTGGCTGTTGCTGCATTGTCGTCTTTGCTCAGTGGTTGGTCTCTGTTGTTGTCTTGTGCTGACTGACCTCACACTCTCACACGTGGGTCTGAGAATCCGACGACGATTGGTGCAGGAAACACCTGCCCCAGTGTGGGAGCTGCTGCATCCCAGTTTTACCCTGGAAACCTCTGCCAGGTCAGCGACATGTGGCCCGAGGCGCAAGGCTGCCCAAATCGGGAGGCTCTGGCCGAGTACACGGATAGAAGGGCGTGACCTTATGCGGTTGCCCATCCAGAAAGGCTGCGGACGTGCTCTCCACCCTTCCGCTGTCTCACGTGGCATCATGGGCCCATATGTTGGTCCTCGGAAGCGGTTCTGCCTCGGGGCCACAGCCCCTGGGAGCAGGGACACGTGGTCACTTGGTCTCTGAGGACAGGTGCTCGTTTTCACTTTTAGTGCTCTTTGTACACCCGAGTGGGCTGTTCAGCGTTCTTCATGGCAGCATCGTTGTCTGCTTTGGATCAGTAAGTTGAGACTTTTGGCTTGGTTTTTCAGAAAATTCTGTTTAGTGTTACTTTTAAAAAATTTGTATTCTATTTTTGGGTTGCAAATTAAAAGTTGTTCTTAAGCTTTTTTCTATTACATTTTCCTGTTATAGTCATTTTAAGAGGCTTTTTAAAAAATGTGTATTTCATTTATGAAGTTAAATTCCCTTATACTTTTTAAACTCTACGCATGAATATATTTTATTCTTTTTAAGTAATTTATGTGTCTCTAATAAGCAAACCCTTCCCAAGTACTTGAAATACACAAATCTAATAAATTTAAGAGATAAATAGGGTAAAATTTTAGCTCCTTTAAACATTCCAATACTCTCACCAGGTGTCTTAAAATTCTCTAGTACCTTTATATCAACAATCACATGTGCAATATTAAATTATTCAGTTAGACATTTTCAAATGGCCCAGAAAGATAATCCGTTATGTGCTTCAGATTACTGTAAATATTACAGATATTTAAATAATGAAACATACCTAGATTATTCCTAAAGTTAACCCAGAAGTAACCCTGGGCTTGATTTACTTTATTGTCCTCGTTCTCAGTTCAGAGGCCCCGCGCTTACAGATGCCCTCTGTGCAGAGCGAGCCGTCTCCTCTCCCCACGACATTGCTCCTCAGATGGGAGCTGCTTCTGGACAGAGTTAGGAGCTGATCTGTCTCTAAGGGTCCGTGAAACGAGCCTGCAGGGCTGGTGTCCCCTGGGCTCAGATGTACTTTCCTTTCTGAAGGTGTCCCTGCTGACAAGGCCCGTCCTCCTGCCCCGCTGAGCTGTGGTGCTCTCCTTGCTCTCTGCCAGCCGCCTGCGTTCCGCGAACCTCCTCAGGCTCATGGGTACCCTTCAGTGGGCACTTTCTTGCCTCTCTGTAGGAACTTGTACTTTTTTGTGTAATTTGGGGGCAGCTCTTAAGAAACTTTTTCACTTGATTTGAGTTGGTGGACTTCTGTCCTTCCAAATGTTTTCTTTCTGACAGGGTCATAACTTAGAGAACGTCTTTGGATTGGAGTACGGATCGTCGTACCCGCCTCTGTTTGGTGTGAGGTGCAGACAGAGCCGTGTTGTGACAACAGATGCTGCTACTTAAACCTCTCGTGCTGCCTCCACAGTCCTGTCCTCACAGTCTTTGTCTCCTGTGCCCAGTTGTCGCTGTGATCCTGAAGGCGCTGATCTACGAGGAGAAGCGGGGTGCCTGCAGTGTGGGCGCCAATGTCAGGGATGCTGCCTGCTACGTGTGCTGGGCCTTTGCACGTGCCTACGAGCCGCAGGAGCTGAAGCCCTTCGTGGCCGAGATTTCGAGGTAAAGCTTGTTAGGGTTGTGGGAGGATTGATCCATCTCTCTTGTTGTCCCTGGATTGCCTCCTCCTGGTGGCAGTGTGTGTGAGAGACAGCCGACATGGGGCCTTTCCCATAAGTGATGTGCTAGGAATAGTACTGGTGAGCTAATTATATGATTTTAAAGGATGGTCTATGAAAAAGAAGCAGCTTGGGATTATAATCCTTTTTTTGTGGGTAAGCAGTTCAAACCAAGTGTTTAGGAGGAATGTTCTGGAGGCTTTGGCTGGCCTGTGGTTAGCAGATCCTTAGATACAGGTAATCTGCATCTTGAAGGTTGAGGAAGAAACACAGGTGGGCGGCACGTGAATCCATCAGGTGAGTCTGTCTGTTCTACTGAGAGAGAAATTCTGGAAATTCAGCTGTTACCATCTTTACCTTGGAAGGAGTTCCTTGGGAATGCTCTGGAACGCTGGGAAAGGAAGCCTTCACGCTTTTGTTGAGGGGCTAGGTGTTGTACAGCCTAAGCCTACTAATTGTTATGGACACAGATGTCCACTTGTGACAACATTCACTAGCACGCTTATCGTCAAGACCCTTGAAATGAAAGTCAGTGCTCTTCAGAACAGCTCTGTGAGGTAGGAAAAAGTGTATTTTCTCTGGTTCCTGTGAAAGAATGGAAACCAGCAGGCTCTGGGCCCCCCCAGAACCCTGTGCAGACTGCGGCAGGCCCGGTGCCACCCTAGAACCCCGTGTAGACTACCACAGGCCCGGGGCTCCCCAGAACCCCGTGTAGACTGCGGCAGGCCCAGGGCCCCCCCCAGAACCCCGTACAGACTGTGGCAGGCCCAGGGCCCCCCCCAGAACCCCGTGCAGACTGTGGCAGGCCTGGGGCACCCCCAGAACCCCATGCAGACTGTGGCAGGCCTGGGCTCCTGAGCTTGTGTTGGGGCTCTTGGCCCCCTGGTTTCAATGTGTGCGCCTCGCTGAGCCCCCAAGGGCATCTCGGCTCCTGTGATGTCATGCTTCATTTTCAGGATCTGATGTTTCTTTGCTTGTGAAAAATGCAAAACAGATGTGTCCCCAGTGTAGTGAATTTTTACGTTAGCTTTTGTACTCTGATCCATTATGTTTGGACTGAAATAAGTTCCTTTGACTTGAAGGAGGTCAGGTCTCATTTCCTGTTTATTAAGTAGCCAGAGGAAGGGTGCTGAGCACAGGGTAGCCACTGCATTAATCATGGTGCGTTACACTTACCTGACGACCTTTACTGGGAAATGGGTTTCAAAATTAAGCTCAGGCTTTGGGAGCTCTGTCCCACAGCCTTTGGGAGATGTCACGCTGAGATCCATGCTGACGCCTGAAGAGAGTGTGTGTGAGACCCGCAGGTCTCAAACCAGTTGCACAGCCCTACTCTCTGCCCCGGAAGCCTTCACTTCCTCCAGCTGGGGTGTACCAGATCCTCCACCCAGGCGTTCCTGAGTGCCAGCAGCAGCTGCAGGTTCTGCCTGGCAAGCAGCACACTGTGAGGGAGCAGCCGAGGGTCTCCGGCCCCTGCAGCTCCTCCAGCATGGGTTCACTGGGCCTGGAGGGTCATTTTATTCTCCCTGGTGTTTCATCTCACCAGAGATTTCTAGGGTCGGGAGAGGGACCTCAGGCCTGTTTACTGACCAGGAAGTGTGGCCAAGGCCTGTATCTCTCAATCTTGACTTACATCAAAGCTAAGCCCACAGAGGAGCCTGAGGATTCTGAGCCCTGTTCCAGGAGATAACGTACTTCCAAGGAAGTCGTAAAGATGACTGACTCTTCCTACTCTTGTCCACCCTTGGGAGGGGAAGGGCGGAGCGAGGGACAGTGGTCTTGTGCAGATGTGGTTGTGGATAACAGCTGGCCTGAGGCTGGGAAGGCCCAGGGTGGCAGAGACCAGGTGCCTGCACCTCCTCCCTCACTCCTCCCTGAGGGCCCTGTCTGCTCCTGTTCTTCAGGGAGCTAGGGCCAGGCTGCCTGGGGAGACTGCCAGCTCCGGGGCCCTGCCCGCGGGCGTGTGTTCCCCTCTCCCATTGTTCTGACCGTGAGCTGGCTTTCTTGGTTGTTTAGTACGGCTTTAGGGAAGGTGCTTCCTCTGCTTTCTTGTCCAGCTCCTCAACTTTTTGGAAGTTGCTTCTGTAACTAGAGAATGAAAGCAAAAAAAAAGGTATTTTTCTTATTGTTTATATCAGCAGTCACAAGACAATAACATTTGTGTAGATTGCTACTGTCTCATTCCGTTTCTGCGGCAATGCTGTGAGCTGGGTAGGTGCTGGGTTATTCCCATTCCGCTGAGGACGAAGCAAGGGACAGCGCTGAGGACGGTACCCAACCTCTGAACCTCAAGTTCGCGTGCCCGATGGCCAGCAAGCCAAACACTGAGATGGACAGAGACTATTCAAATTGGCCAAGACAAGTAGGTGGGAGCCTGGGTTGTCCCAAATCTGCCTCCCCAAGAACAGAAAGGCGGGGTGGGGGTGGTTTATAGAGCTGAGGGGCTTCGGGGAGACAAAGGAGTCACTCCCTAAAGGCCCCTGGGCAGTCTGACTTCCGGGCTTCAACAGCTACTGAGGGCCGGCCCTCTGGTGATGGCCACCTCCCTGAGGACGTTCTCTTCTACAAAACAAGCTCACTCCTCGAGACCCAGTGGCCCCTTGAGTTAAACAGGAAACCAGCAAACTGGTTTAATACCTACAGTGACCCTCAGGTACCGGGCTTCGAGGATGCCTGCCCAGAGTCTCAGGGCTGATGGTGCTGGTCGGGCCTGGAGCCGTGGCGGATGCCTGGGCCCGTCTCTGCGCCACTGTACGGTACTGCCTCTGCTGAGAAGCCCCGACCACCCACTGTGAAGGCAGACATGCGACTGTTCAAGAGAGCCTGGCTCCTTAGGTGCCCATTCTCGTTTCAAGGTGGAAATAATCCTGACTCAGCCCTTTCTCAGTTTCACTTTCGTCTGAGAGCTGTAGACTTAGAGGGAATCTGTGCCTCTCCTTTCTCCAGGGACCTCCTTGGTCCAGCCTAACAGGAGGAGCAGGGCCAAAGGCTGAAGTGTTGGCAGAGGAGACTGGAATGGAGTAAGGCTTTGCCCACCTGGAGGGTGGGAGCCCCGCACATCCAGAGCCGGCACTGGAGAGAGTGGCTGTCCCGCAGTCCTCTGCCCCAGGAAAGTGTCTCACCACACCAGAGGTGTGAGCCTCAGAGTGTCTCTCTTCGCTGCCACCTCGAAGAGAGAGACGATCCTGGCAAATGGTCCCAAGGCCTAGTGTCCCCACTGCTGCATTGGGCCCGAGAGAAGGGTTCGCCCTGGGCCTGGGCTTTGGGAGGGACACTCTTTAACCTCTGCTTCTGCAGCTTCAGAACTTAGCATAGCAGCACGAACCTCGATGGTGGCTTCATGAAGCGAAAGACCCCTCTATGAAAGGGGTTGCTGATCAGTTCTCAGCTGGCCTTAGCATGACGTGGGTGTGAAAGTAGATGGTGGCCTGATTCTTTGACTCCAGGCGTGGGTGATCACTTGCCCCGGGGACCCTTGGACACACGCCTGCTGTTCAGGCTGCACCGTGACCTGACCAAGCTACCCTCACGGTTGGAGCTCTGCATCCCAGCCTGAAGTGGGTCGAGTCTTCATGGAGGCTGGAGGGCACCACTCCACTATCCAGGAAAGGGAAGGCAGGTTTGGGGCCACTGAGCTGGCTCCCCACAATGAGGGTCCTGCCATGTGATTCGCTTTCCGTGGGAGGGCCTGAGGGGAGAGGGCTTTGAGGAGGCCAGTTCCTGCACTGTGTGGGCCCATGCAGGTGGCCGGGGTTGTTCTGCCGTGTCAGAGTGAAAGTGACTTTGCAGATCTGCTTGTAGCTGAGAGGGTGGGACCGAGCCATCCCCTGGGGGGTCCTGCGGAGATCTACAGGGGACCCCTCCATCCCCTCAGGGGGCCTGCCAGTGTGTCTGGTAAGTATGGCTGTGTCTGTACTGAATGGGAGGTATGGAGGTGGGTGTCCAGGACACTGACCTTTCTGAGCGGGGACTTATTTTAAGACCTGTATCAGGCCTGAGGGGCCAGCGAACAATTATCCTGTGATGGTGGCCAGCGTCTGTCTGCAGAAACCCATATGGTTCCACTTGGGTCCTTTGATCTTGGTGGAGGTTAAATTTCCTTGACTTCCTGGGCATGCCTGAGGGTTGCTAATGAGTTTACTGCGAGTCACACATACCGAAACCACCAGCTGGCAGGGCAGCCCGGAGCCTCCTGCTTCATAGCCTTTCTGATTTCTCCTAATTAGCCCTGGAGTGCATGGCCTCGTGGAGTCTCTGCTGAGAAGGCCCCTCTTGTCCCCGTCCCAGGCTCGGGTCAGCAAGTGCCCTTTGGAGCCCTGCTGGCAGGTTTCTCAGTCCAGTTTGGCAGGTTCTGAGGGAACCTGTGTACCAGCCCTTCCTGGTCCACCTAGACTGCAGGTGTAGGGGCGGGGAGGGGCCTGGGAGGTGAGTCACGGTGCCAGGCGAGCCTGGAGGACGCTGCGCGCCTCCCTGTCCCAGGAGTATCGGTTGGGGTGTGTCCTTCGAGATCCACCTCTCTTGGTTTGTAATAAGTGACCACATTTTAATTGTCAGCTTTTAAGCCCATTAATCCTGGCACCTGATAAAATCTTGATGTCTTTAACCATATTTCACGAACTCTTCAGTGGATCCTGCGAAAGTAGACAGTTGAGATCAGCATGTAATTCTGTAAATGAAGTAGGAATGTCTGGTGAAAAGAAGCAGGGCAGTAGCAGTGCTGAGGATGCAGGGCTGGGCTCAGTGAGGGCACCCACGTGGAGGGAGGGCACACTGGGGCCTCCTCAGACAGCACGGAAGGGGGTGGACTCGGCTGGTTGTGCGCTTCTCCTAAAGGAACTTGGAGGAACTGTTCTTCACCTCATCACGTGAATATGTGCTGATCCTGTCTGCTTTATAAATGTCACAAAGGAAGTTTTTAGGTAAATTTAATCATGTTTTGAATTA